TTAAAGGGGTCATATGATGCGATTTCAAGTTTTCCTTTCTCTTTGGAGTGTTACAAGCTCTTGGTGCATAAAGAAGATCTGTAAAGTTGCAAAGACTAAAGTCTCAAATCCAAAGAGATATTCTTTATAAAAGTTAAGAGTCAGCCACACCTACCTAAAACGCCTCGTTCTAACACGCCCCCACATGTCTACCTCACTATGTGGAAATATTAGCATAATGCCACCCAAATGTACACGCAAAGAAAGAAGGCGTGGTTTCAGTTCGGTGTGCGCGCTGTCTGAAACACGGCTCTCTGTGTGCGCTTTGAGTGAGTGCGCAGATGAGTACAAAACTGAGTTCTATTTAGCCTCAAGCACTTGAATGGTTTAAAATGCTTGAATGTTTAGACTTAGAAGACCTAGAAACACGTGCAAATGATTTGTGAGCCCTGTTGTGTATCATTTTCTGTCTTTTCTGAAATACAAAAATGATGGTGATGCTTTACTAAATGTTTAAGCTCCTATTCTTACAAAGAAAGGGGATGGTGATTAATACTACAATGCAAAACTGCAAGACAGCATGAACAAAAAACTAATATGAACTACTTTTATGGTGCTTTTATGGCATTTTAGGAGTTTTAAAGTATAAATCATCTTCCACTTTCATTGGCAACAGAAGACAACAGATCTATTTTTCAGTTTTACAGAAGAAAATGACATCCTACAGGTTTGGAATAGCATGAGGGCGAGAAACGATGACAGTATTTTCATTTCTGGGTCAATTATTCCTTCAGAGGCTCAGTAAAGACATTAGGGTCAGTCACCATGGGAATTGTTGCTAATGAGTATGAGCAGCGACATCCCACATGCATGAAGAATGATGCAACTGAATCAGTATCCTGACAATATCAAACTCACTTACACTGCCTATTTTGTACTAAACTTAAAATATATTTATATTTTATTAAACTTAAAATATAAACTTACTGTATAATCCAATAGTATTATTCAATAGTTTAATACTGTACTGTCAATTCTGATTCAGTTATGTCATTCCTAATGCTTCATGGGATGAGTAGTTCACTCATTCATAAATAATGTTAATTAGAACTATTTTTAAATACACTACCGTTCAAAAATTTTGGGTCAGCAAGATTTATTAATGTTTTTGAAAGAAGTCTTATATGCTCACCAAAAGTATTTGATCCAAAAATACAGGAAAACAGGAATATTATGAAATAATATTCGAATTTAAAATACATGTTTTCTATTAAAATATATTGTAAAATTAAATGTATTCCTGTGATCAAAGCTGAATTTTCAGCATCATTCCTCCAGTCTTCAGTGTCACATGATCCTTCAGAAATCATTCTAATATGCTGATTTGCTGCTCAGGGAACATTTATTATTATTATCAATGCTGAAAATAGGTGTGCTGCTTGATATTTATTTGGACATCGTGATAATTTTCTTTCAGGATTCTTTGATGAATAGAAAATTCAAAAGAACAGCATTTATTTGAAACATTTTAACATTACAATGTCTTGTCACTTTTGATCAATTGAACGCTTCCTTTGTAAATAAAAGTATTATTCCTTAAATAATAAAAAAAAAACATCTTTTGAACGGTAGTGCACCTATGGAAAAAAATGAATGGGAAAAATACTTCCAGAAGCAAATGTGGTTAAATGTGAAAGAGTGAGAGTCAGATCTTTCTATAGGAGTGAAATCCTCTCATGACCGCTCTTGAAGATCCACTAAAACCCACCTTTACACAGTGAGAACTGGTTTCAGAAGCCACAAAGATTCATTTCAAGATTTATTTAAAAGAGCAAACTTAATTTTTTATGAGGCCCTTGCAAACAAAAGAAATTGGTCAATTTGACTCCTGAAATTCCTGAAACTGTACAGCTGCTTTCTGTCCTTTGCAACTGTTGCTTGTCAGATTGCATTAGATCTTTAGTAAAAAAAAAGCTTTAGTCAAAGCAGACTGTACAACATCATGCCAGACATTCAAATTTGTCAAATTCCTCATTGACATGCACAAAGCCAAGAAAGCCCTTGAGCAAAAGGGGATTTTGTGGACTGCGAACGTTGATATGATCATAAAATGATGGGAATGCTAAATTATAAGACTTCTGATTGTCTCCAACAGCAAAAATCGTACTGTATGCATGCAGCTTTGGCTCAGCAATAACTGCTGGCAAAGTCTGAAGTCCTTCGTGTTGTCCTAATGCATTCTCCATGTGGCTGGGCAAAAGCCGCATGGGGAATGGCATATTCCCACATTCAGCAGTGGACAGGATGATGATGGCCTGAAGCTACAGCAGCTGGAGACCGTTGGGACGCTTTGTGTTAAAGCAGGTTTGGGAGGCACTCAATGTGACCTTGGAGTCATCCGGACTGAATCCAGTGAATAACAGATAACTCAAGAGCACGAGTCCTTACTCAGCTCATAAAGAGAGTTTGCAATGACAAAAAGTTTGAACCTCTCAAATCATTCACACAAACAGACCTAACGGAGCATGTCAGTTAAATGAAATCATCATATTAACCAGAAAAGGGAAGTTCAACAAGACAAACTTTGAATTTTGTTCGGTGATTAGGGGTTTTGAAAAAAAAAAAAATCCAAATATCTTGACTTTGACGAGCCAATGCAATTAAACACACTACTGTTCAAATGTTTGTGATCACTACAGTTTCGAAATTAATACTTTTATTCAGCCAGGATGCATTAAATTGATCAAAAACTGACTGTAAATACATTTATAATGCTGCAAAAGGTTTTTATTTCAAATAAATTCTGTTTTTTGAACATTCTACTCATCAAAGAATCTTGAAAATATAAACGTATCACGGTTTCCACTAAAAAATATAAAGCAGCGCAACGTTTTTTTTAACATTGATAATAATCAGAAATGTTTCTTGAGCAGCAAATCAACATATTAGAATGATTTCTGAAGGATCATGTGACACTATGTGATACTTGAGTAAAGACTGCATTTTAAAATACATTAAAACATAAAATAGTTATTTTAAATTGTAATAATATCTATCAATAATTGGCTGTATTTTTGATCAAATAAATGCAGACTTGGTGAAATAAGAAATTGTGTTATTTTAGTATTACTTCTATATTATTATAGTATTTATTAAAACATTTTATTAGAATTTATTTTTATAAATTCAGTTTTCACTTTAATTTTAAATTAAATTTCAGTAAGATCGTCATTTTCTTTTCTTATTTTTTATTCTGTCATTTATTTTTATTTCTGTTTTAGTCATTTAAGCAGTTCAACTTTCTAATTCAGTCAGCTGTCAAGCCAACATTTCTAATCTTTAAGTTTATTAATCTAACTGTACTTTATTTTAGCTTCATTTCAATTAACAGTAACTATTTTAATAGACTTAGTTTTAGCTAAAAAAAACAACAACAGTGATAAGAATCTTATTTCATAAACACGCAAAAAATAGTTTTTACTGATCCCAAACTTTTGAACAGTAGTATTGTATTGAAATGAATCAGAACATCAACTCTCCTAGTGTAAAAGTGTGTTTAATATAATCATTCAAGAGCAGTTGGGTGTTAATCCTATAGAACAGTTTGTATCAAAACAACACGCGTGCACACAAACGACAAACCATGCATCTTACATGAGAAACACTTCAGAACAGCTCTGGGTTTCGACATCACGCACGTAGAAACCTTCTTACAAAGGCTATGAGGGACTGAGAGACACAAAACCAACATGGTCAATGGAAGAGGAAACTCGCTGTGCTTCTCCTTCAGTCTTTCTCTCTTTGTTAACTTCAACAAGCCCACACCACTCATAACTAAAGACACAACCACACAGAAACTGCAGTGGTGGTCCATCAGCGGAGGTAAGAGAGGCTGAGCCTCTTGTAGAATTTAGTCTAAGTTGTGTTGAGGATCAGCAGGCCTGATGACGCACTACAGCGAGACTGAAAGTTTATATTAACGTCAGATGAACATAAATGATTCTCTGATTCCCTTCATTCTGACTCACCCATCCCTTTGGAGTGGTTGAAGTCTCCTTTGACGATCTTGCAGGATTTGCTGTCACCGTTGCAGACGCCGCACCGGTCTTCTTTTGCAGATGAACCGATGATGCCGTCACAGCCGATTTTCTGCAGGAGGCAGATTGAGAGAACCAAAAAATCTTTGATTTCATGATCCATGAGTTACAGGAATGTAAAAAACTCAATTGGTATGAATGAATTGTAAAATGTCACTCCAAACCTGTATGCTGCTGATTGCTCTGTACAACATAAAATTATATAACAAGGTTTTTTGGTAAACAACAAAGATTTTTAGTATTCTTTTCAACTTTCTATTGATCAAAGACTCCTGGAAAAAAATATCACCGGTGGACGGACAGATCAAATAATTGTAATATTGATTCTGCTACAGTTAATTCGAAGATATAATCTAAATATTTATTATGAATCATAACCATTTATGATTCGTCATAAATATTCCCCTTTTTAGAGCTAATAAATAATAATAAACGTTACATAAGTGTCATTGTATGAAAAGAAGCTGTGTTAAGATTTTGTGCTCCACAAGAAAGAAAACGCCATATAAGGGGTCAAAATACCTTTAAAAAAAAGAAGACAAAAAAACACGCCAAGCAAGTTGTTGCCCAATGTTAATAACAAATCAGTGTAATATAATTCAGATTTCTTTGGCACAACATCAAGTCACATAAAGAATAATGGCTCAATGGTTGCATAACTTCAAACGCAACAAAATAACGCCTGAAAGTGAAAACCTTATCATGTAAATATTTAGCGAATGATTTCAGAAACCTAATGTAAAATGCCATTAGTAAATGGTCTGTGGCAATCACTGCTGGTTGAACTGATGAATTATCTGGATGCACAGGAAGTCATTCTTCATTTCACTTCAGGAATGTTCAAAGACGATGTGTTGCAGTGCGTGTTAAGGGCGAGAGAGCGTTGAAACCGAGTCATTCTGATTGGTTGTACTTTATGATCGAATGAGTCATGTCAGGCCCCATTTTTTGCATTCAGTGTAGACAAATTGGAATCTTGTCTGTTTAAAGGAATATTTCAACCAAAAATGAAAATTTGAAAAGCTGAAAATGTACTCACCCTCAGGCCATCCAAAATGTAGATGCGTTCGTTTCTTCATAGAAACAGATTTGGAGAAATGTAGCATTACATCACTTGCTCACCAATGGATGCTCTGCAGTGAATGGGTGCCGTCAGAATGAGAGTCCAAACAGCTGATAAAACATCACAATAATCCACACCACTCCAGTCCATCAGTTAATGTCTCGTGAAATGAAAAGCCGCATGTTTGTAAGAAACGAATCCACCATTAAGATGTTTTAACATTAAACCATCGCTTCTGGACAAAATACAAGTCCATAATCCATAATGACACTTTCTTCAGTGAAGAAGTCCACATCCTGCTGTCCTCCCACATCAAAATCCACCAACATATATGTTCAGAACTATTTTGGACTATTTTGGCTTGTGATCAGTGCTTGATCTGTGCATATTTCTCTCCTGATTCAGACAAGATTACCTTTTCACTGGAGAAAGCAAGATTATAGAGGAATAAATGGTTTGAAGTTAAAAACATCTTAATGATGGATTCGTTCCTTACAAACATGCAGCTTTTCGCTTCACAAGACATTAACTGATGGACTGGAGTGGTGTGGATTACTTGTGGATGTTTGTTTGGACTCTCAGTCTGACGGCACCCATTCACTGCAGAGGATCCATTGGTGAGCAAGAGCTGTAACGCTACATTTCTCCAAATCTTTTCCCATGAAGAAACAAACTCATCTACATATTGGATGGCCTGAGGTTGAGTACATTTTCAGCAAATTAAATCAGTATTCACCAGAAAAACAATGAGCATGTGTTCCTGAGAAACACTAACAAACATTTGACAAATCGGAAAATTAGGGATGATGCTAATGACGCTGAAAGAATCTTCTTGTTTGGATCCTGTGTGTAAATAATGTCTTCCCTATTGTCGCTTTCATTAAATCCAGGTAGTCTCTGTCAGTGATTTGCTTCTTAATAGGTTCGCTTAAAAGTAAAAGCAGAATGGAATAAATAAACAGGAAAAGGTCACATAAATCATATTTTCACTGAAGGATCCTGGCGCTGAGCATCCGTTCACTCCCTCTGGATGTTTCTGACACAAGAGCTGCATTGAGACTGTGAATATGAGTGCTAACTCCAAAACAGCGATGCTGGGATTGTGGTCAGGACAAACCAGGACAGGACCTGAATCTGGTCACTTCCTGTGGGGCAGCTCAGGTGGAGCATGTTTATATTACAGAATGAAGGGGTGTAGTCAATGTTCAGGGCTGATGAATCCCTACACTCATGTACAGTAACCGCACGTGCGTGTGTGTGTGTGTTTGTTTGTTAGTTATAGTGCACACAGTGAAATCACTTCCAGACATTTTGACCTGCTTTTTTCAGTCCTGCTTTCTATTAGTGGAGGCGGCTTGCAGACTGTGACCTCCTTTCAGTCTTGTACTCTTACTAGCGGCCATTGAGCAATAGCGTGGTTGACAGTCGACATCGGTGTCAAACATCGGTCAAAACTAAGCTTCCTAAGTGTGCAACGCATCTTTAACGGTCAAACAACTACACTACTGCACAACTCTCAAAACTACTACACAACTGTACTTTCTTGTTCATTCTCTATTCTCGTTCTTTCATCAGTCTTCTTCTATGACAACATGCTTCTACAATCACAAAGCATCTCATTTAATCAAATACTCTTATGCAATGTCTTACTGTAAATCACTGCAGAAAATGAACTGACGCAATATGATCTCACACTCGTCTTTAATCAAACGATCAGGCAGGTTTTTAACCTTAAACTTCATTAAATGTAATGTGTCATTTTTAATGCTAAAATCGCTCATATCGGTCTTCTCATATTTCAGAGACAATTGCAATCAATATGATATTTGTATGAGGACCCTGTGAAAACTGTAAACACACTGTTCTATTTGTCGATTTCTGGCTCAACCAAAGACGTGAGTTTGGAAGAAGAATATATATAAAAAGGAATATTTGACAGTGTATGACAAAATGGGGGATTTTTAGAAAACTGGACAAGAAACAGTCATTATTTTACTTCATGTTTATATATTAAACATTAAAATGCTTCTCACACAAAGCTATCGTATGACTTCATAAGACTGTGCACAGCATAAAATATAGTGCACAAGTCATCTAGACTATGTCTATGGTAATTTATGGTGTTTTTTTTTTATAATAATTTTACATCAATCAATTACATGTAATTGCTTGGATAGTATTTGATATTTTAGTTTCAGAATATATTTCAACATGGTATTACTATAGAAATTGCGGTCTTATTCATGTTTGTATTGGGCTAGGATTTGAATTTAGGTTTAACAGTTTGAAAAGAGTATGTGAACGTGCAAATTGGCTTTTAAATTACAGAAAGTTTTTTCTTGAGCAGCAAATCAGCATATTAGACTGATTTCTGAAGGATCACGTGACACTGAAGACTGGAGTAATGATGCTGAAAATTTAGCTTTGCATCACAGGAATAAATTACATTTTAAAATATATTACAATAGAAAACAGTTATTTTAAATTTGAATGATATTTACTGTTTTTACTGCATTTTTTTAAAATGCAGCCTTAGTGGAGGGGAAAAAAAAAAACTTACTGACCCCAAACTTTTGAACAGTAGTGCATATGAAAATACACACCTGACATTTTCCACTCACACACAGGTCGCTCTCATAAGGTCCACATGGCGTTCCGTCCAGCACACGTTCTGCCACTAGTACCGGTGCATCACTGCCGACGGGTGAACAATATAGAGTGCATGGCTTTTCTGGGAAATAAAAGCACACACACATAAATAAATGCTTCATTTAGCATGTACATGCATCATTTTTTTTTGTTTCCGTTTGTTCACAAAATTCCTCCACAAATGAGTTTTATCGGATCCAATCTGTATGGATTGAGCTTTGAGGCTGAAAGAGGCACAAGTTTCTGTACTTTCAGTTAGAACACATGAAGTGCAGTCTTTTCTGAGGAGTCTACTTAAGAAGATCACAAGCCTGTTTCTGAGTGACGTGTTGTGATTTAAGAGCAGCTTTGTGCTCCTTTAGTCTGCAGAAGATGAAAGTTCACTGTTAAAGTGAATGTCTGTAAGTGACTCTCGAGCTATCAGAATTTGGAGAGCCTGTGTTTCTGCCATTGTGAGGTAAAATCGAGAGAGTGCTTTTTGAGTGCTGCGGCTTCATTGCTTTCGTCAGAGTGTGAAGCCTTTCAGGTGCACAGGAGGATGTTTGCTCGGGTTCTTTGGTTATACTGTTTCCATCTAATTGCAGAAAATAAGTGGTTTTCGTTGCAAATATATATATTATGCAGGTTTTTCAATATGATAATAAATATGCAGACAGACAGACAGACAGACAGACAGACAGACAGAGATAGATAGATAGATAGATAGATAGATAGATAGATAGATAGATAGATAGATAGATAGATAGATAGATAGATAGATAGATAGATAGATAGATAGATAGATAGATAGATAGATAGATAG